GCAAACTATAGACACATCAAGCATAAAATATATAAAATATATTGAGTAAGAGCAGCACATAAAGCTGAGAGACGTTTTGCACAATAATTTATCAAAGTTTTGTTTTCTCCTTCTTCCTTTATACTATCCAGTTTGGAGCAATTTTTTGAAAAATGTTCTTCCTGCTCTTATTCTTCTTATTTCCATCATTTTTATTCCTCCTTGCACGATATATATTTTTTATAAATACGACACACATATTTCACAATAACGACACTTGCACTTGAATTTTTTTATATTTATTTATGTACATGTCTATAAACAGCACAAGCACAAGCTATTGCAAGTACAGTGACTTTATGCTGCAACAACAGCAGTTTGAAATAGCTGTTTATCACATGAATGAATGAAAATGAATGAATGAAGTTATAGGAAGGAGCTGTGATGCCCGTAATAAATCTCTATTTATGGCATTTTTATAAATTTTTAGAAAAAATATTTTGTCGAGATTTTTTATGTCTTTTTTTTAGAAAAAAGTATGATGCATTGAAAAATGCTCGTTGTGCTTCATTGGAATTTTTTTTGCTGCAACTCCTTCCTTCTTCCTCCTTATTTATGATTATGCTGTGAGATGTTAATGTTATGTTGGAATATATCATACAGCGAGAGTAGTCACCATGTCATATATGAATTGAAATATCTATGTATGCACGTATGTTGCTATCCATACAATGGACATCTGCTAACACCATCAATATTTATTGAATATGTCAATTTATCGAAAGAAAGGAAGGAGCAAAAAACTTTCTTTGAATCTCCACACAACAAAATTTTCCCATTCTTTTCACTTCCTTCTCCGTCTTCATTCTTTTGGAATGTACATGAAAAAGTTTTTCATCATCATTTCTAAAAGATATTCACATACAACCATATGCATGCAGTTGATGCTCTGCTCTACTCTGTGAAAGAAGTAAGAGAGTCCAGTCTGTATGTTCAATAAATCGTAAGAAAAAAGGAAAATATTTGAGTCATGAAAACTTCCTTCCCAGTCTCCGAAAAAAATTTACCGACCCACATCTTTTCAATATTCTCAATAAATCACATTGTGTAAAGGACGGACGGAAGGATAGAAAGATTTGATTCCAAATCAAATCAGAAATGTTGACGAAAATGTTGTGGACTTTCTTTATTCATCTATGATTACAGAATTGGACATTGAATATGAAAATGTGTCCAGAGAAGTAAATGACATTTGACAAATAATGAAAGGAACTAGTTTCCAATTTTAAATTGAAATGTCTTCAAGATTTGAACAATATTCAGGATGTTATAGGATATAGATTGGGGAAGAAAGTTCAAAATAATTCTCAGCATGTCTACAAGACTTGTACATGATTATTATCCTGAGATGAGTTTTGAATTTAATTATTCTTTGATTGTCCGCACTTTTTAACAAATTTTAAAGAAACTGGATGTGACAACAGGAAATTTGTATGTAGGAAGGGATGTTGCTGTATAAAAATAAAATTTTGGAAATGAAAAATTGAAGGTCACAATTTACTTGACGAGATAATTTTGAAGAAGTCATAAGACACAAAAATATCTGCAATAAAAAGCAACACAAAAGGCTGTGTGGAAGGAGGAAAAAGTTTTGCGGTTGACATTCTCTTCTGTTTTAATTTAGCTCACGTATTCACAAGTCAAAATTTAGCATCAACTTGCTTTTGCATCCTACAAAGTGAAATGCTACGAGGATTTTTGCTTTCTGTTTTGTATCCTTTTCTTCATTCCTTCATCTGTTCCTCATCTCCTTTTTTACTATATATATAATATGAGTTGTTGACATATCGTGCATGACGAGATTAATTAATCGTCCTTAACTGACGCTGATGAGTGATTTTCTCATTTTCATCATTCCATCTCCTTTTGCTTTATGTTGAAGGATGATGAGCATCAGGAATGGTTAGTCATTGGAGTTAAATTATTCATGAAAAAGTCATTTTGTTGTGTTTTGAATGTGACTATTGCTGTAGTACCAAATGGATGTGGATGTGGATCACATATGATAAATTTTAAGACAATGATGCTGATAATCTACAGATGAGAAGTGTGGGGATGCAAAACTTTTCACCTTTTTCATCCTCTTTTAAAAATGAAAAAAAAAAATCAATTCTCATCCTCTCATTCACATTCCCAATTGGATGTGCCATTCATTCATTCAATCTATCTCCATCTATCTATTGTTGCAAAAGTATTAGTTTTGTCTTCACAGAATGAAAGAAAAATTCTCTATTTTTTGATGTCATGTCTCATATTGATGGCTCTGATGAAAATGGCAAAAAAACAGCAAAAAGAAATTGAAGGAAAGACAGAAACAACACAGAAAGCTGAGCATGAAAGATGAAATTTTCTTCTTCTTCTTTTTCAATTCTTTCCTTTTTTTCATTTTCCCAATCAATACGAAAATTGAACGAACATGACTTTTGAGATATTGATGGTTTTCAATTTTTTCTGATGATGAAAAAAAACTTTTTTTTTATTTCGATATTTTCTGCTTTTTTTTTGATCGAAAAGATGAGGAGATGAGGACGAGTGTGAGGAACAAATGGGAGCGGAAAGTCTGTCGGATAATGCAGAAGGAAAAGTTTTGTTCGTCGCTCTAAATGACGAATGGTTCGTATGCATTTTCATATCCATCATTGTCAATCAATAAGAATGAAAAAAAGTTCAATTTTCTATGAAAAAAAAAAGTTCATGTTCATGACTGATGGAATGACTGACTTTTTATCAACGATTATTTCAAAATTGAATATTTTTTTTTGTGTGGTGCTGTGCATTGAGTTTTACACACGGCCACCTTGCTTTTATCATTCTTATCATTCATTGATGAACTAAAGTACCTCAAAAACAGCTCCTTTATTTTCGTCATTTTGCCGATTGCATACTGGTTTTTCGGGACACTTATCGGTGATTAAACTTGCTAAATTGCTTATCAATCTTAAAATAAGAATAATTTATCAAATTATTTTTAAGAGGATATTGTGACGTGGTCAAGTTAAGTACTTTGATAACAAGCCAAACACTTTGGATTATGGTTAGCATTAATAAATGGCGTTGATGTTGAAATTTTGAGATTTGTTGCGTTTTGAATCCAGTTTTCATCTTTTTAACCAATTGAGACATAGGACTTGGTAACCATCATTATTGCCAGCAATTGGTAGTAATTTATATTGAATTTTGACTTAGCTTTAAGCAAGCTAATATTAATAGGGCAGTCTTGAAGTTGACAAACCAAATTTTCACTTAGGAAATGATTAATCAAGGCTCCCGCAGATTATAATCTTTAAAAACGAAGATTATAATCTTTGTATGGGATTATTTCAGGTTTATAATCTTCACGAAATTGGCAAGCGGTAGCCAGCGATAGAGCCAGTTTTAGGCGGCATCTGAGTGAGGCCATGGTTCACAATTGATCTGTAAGGTCATTGAAGTAAGCAAGTAATCTGCGAGAGTCTTGTGATTAACAGAGTCACTGACCAAAAAAGCAGAGAACAACTAACATAACCAGTGGATTTAAGCCATGAATCTGTGGATTCAACTCTCTCGATTTAACTAAAAAAGACTATCTGTACACAATCTTATTTTATAAGGTTCGTACGCGATTTTTTTGTATATTTTCAAATTTAACAAAATTTTACCAACCTAAGGACATTGACTCTTAATTACAGAAGTGTTTGAACTCTTGCTGCTATTAAAGTTGGTCAGATTCTCTCATTTGAAGTGCACTTTATTAACCCGATCAGCACACATTGAAAATCATTGTCATCCGGTGTTTACGGCTGGATTGATATTATAATTAGAACCAAGTGGCAGTCACGTGGCAAACACTTGTCGATCAGTTGGAAATGCCTTGGTTCTAATTATACTATAAACCCAATAGCCAGGTGGCAAACATTTCAATTTGTGCCGAACAGGTAAGCTATTAGTTTGTAGCATTTAATCAGTCATTATCAAGTCTTTTTAAAGTTATTGAATAAAATCAAATTGCCAAGGGGCCGTTCACTTATTACGTTCGCATTTTAGGGGGGACGGGGGGTTTGAAAATTTGTAACAAAATGTAACATAGGGGGGGGGGGGGGGGTCAAGAAGTATGTAACGTTCCAACTGTCGTCTGTCTTTCACGAAAAAAAATTGTTTACAAATTCACACCAAAGACATTTTTTTAAATTTTCCACCTTTTTAATGATAAAATAAATTATGAACGTTCAGGGGGGGGGGGGGGGGTTGTGAGTTGTAACATATTGTAACAAAGGGGGGAGGGGGTTGAAAAAAGTCGTTCTTTTGCTTAACGTAATAAGTGAACAGCCCCCAACAAGTCTAGTTCAATATTAAGTCCACAACTGCTCAAGTCTAAAGTTTAAAGTAAACAACTTTAAAGTGCATGAATTACAACAATATAAGCAGTCTTTATTATTCTACACGAACTCATTCTCAACCTACTTAATATTCAATTTCAAAGTCAGTGATCCTATTATCAAGTGACAAATCAATTATTTACAAAACTTTTTCTAGTTTATTTGATTTTGAATGATAAATGCGCTCCGATGACCTAATAGCAATGACGATAGTGACTTATTTATTTTTGTGTAAATCTTATCGTCTTTTTTTTTATTAATATATGAAGAAGAAAAGAGAAAAAAGATTAGATTTACTGTTTACTTAATATTTATTATGTCTCATTACCTCAATTTTTAATTTCTTTACTTAGTCTCCTAAAGTCATTTCATAAAGATCCGTTCAGTCAGTGAGAAGACAACAAAAATTATTGAATATTTATTGCAAATTAAATTTCGTGACTGGGCTTTCAATAATAAATAAAATAAAAATTAAATAAAACTCTGCTATTGTGTGTGACTGTAGTGATGTAATAAACAGACACGATTTGTGGCTGTGACATTTTTCTTGTGTGTATAAATTCTGAGTTGTAAGCAAGGCAAAAAAAAATAAAATTTCAGTAAAATATGTGGAGCGAACAACAAGTCGCGGTTGTGATAAGTTTCATTGTGACAAATTGCTTCATTCAAATTTCATGTAATATCATAAGCAATACATCAAGTGTTGAATTGATTGATAATATCGTTGTCATCGATAGCAATAATAATCATCATGATAAAAGCGAAAAGTATATTGAAGGTGATAAAAATATTTTTATATCAAAAAATTTTACCACGCATTTTGATGTCATAAATCCATAAATCCATAGCTCTTACATGCCATACCCGAGGAAAAATAAAAGCAAATTTATGAAATGTGTCAATTGTTGATTTACAAACACCACGTTTTCATTGGTTCCTATTAAGCAGAACTAAAAATATAGTTCAGGAAATTGTTGTGCATGTTTTTTGTTGTTGTTGTACGATTATGACTTATCGACAAGCTCGCTATCGTTTATTGCCTTTTTATCAATCGGAAAAAATTGTTTCCACGATGAGGTATAAACAATTTTTTTTTTTTTGATTGACGGTTAATAATTTTATTCTTAATCTTATCACTTATCTTACGAAGGAAACATTTAAATGTGAAATCTGTTGATTAAGCCACAAATGAGGTTGAATTGTGTTTATTTTTGACAATTAAAGTACGCAGTGTTTATGTTTTATTTCTTTGGTTTTGATTGTAGATAAAAGCACGTGTATTATTGACGTCATATCTCTTTTGAAGTAAATTGTTTTTCAAATTAAAAAATTAAGTTATTGCTTTGCTACTGTTCGTGAAGTATAGGCATGACTTTAGATATTTTGAAGTACTCATTAAGGTTAGTAAACCTTCAGAGGAAATTAAGCGGATTTTATGGCTCTAAATGCTGGAGTATTGCTAGTAAAAAGTCAGAACTTGGTGCTACTTGACTGTAGGATCATTAATTAAGTGGATTAAAAATGCTTGGATTAGGCAAATTACTAGGTGGTATTGGTAAGGGAAATTATTATTGTTTACCTGAACCAGACTACCGTTATTTTATAAAATAAACGTTATAATAAAATCAAATTGGTTTGAATTTTATTTGACCGTTATTGCAAGATCTTATTTTCGCATATTTTAATGTAGGAAATTGGTTAAATTTTTAAACCCAATGTTAGCAAAGAGAACAGAGTCCGTTACAAACAAAAAAATTTCAATTCAAAATTTTCGCGAGGTATTTTTTTAAAATTTCAAAATTAGAAAGTCCTTTACTTTTTATTTTTTTTAAACTAGCTGTTTTTTTTAATCAGCATTATGACAAAAAATGTAAAAGTCACGATTTTAAATTTTTAAAATTATATTTGTTCGCATTATTTCAACGGTCAAAAAAATTCAACTTTTCGTCTCTAATGTCGGAAGAAATCGAAATTAATATCGAAGAAGTCCGAAACAAAATGGCGGTAGTCTGACCTGAACTTGAAAAAGCATATTAAGCTTTCAGAATCTAGAGGGAAAAATGCAAATCTCTTATCAAACCCGAATGGAATGCTTGACACGATGTCTAGTAAATTACAAGACTTACGGACGATTAATAATGATTTTTAAGCAGAGCTCGAAGTCGATGAAATATTGTATGAAGTCTGGTCAACTCGGGGTCGACTCTATCATACAAAATCGATGAAAATCTCAAATCGACTTCGAGCTCTGATTTTAAGGAACTTTCCTTAAAAATCGTCCTTAGTCGTCGCTAAGTCTATTAATTTTCTAGACATCATGTCAAGTGTTCCACTCTGCAAAGACTGCAGCATCTTAAATGACACGATTTTTTCGTGCTGTTCAGTGACAATTGTGTAGGATTAAAGTATTCAAGAATATTATTTTTCAGCCAAAAAATGGAAACTTAAGTAACGAATAACTAATATCTGGACAATAATAAAGCAATAAAATAAAACTAGCTTAATTTAAGCACTAATCTTCAATAAAAAGTATCAAAATTCTCAATAATACTCTCACCACATGAGTTTGATCAAATTTTATAGATATATTTAATGTACAATATTTCCTGCAATTTGTCCAAATTATTCATCCAACATCCGCACGACAAATCTGCATAATAATAATAAATACTCATCGTCTCAAAAGATCTCTTATGGCGTAGGTTTTGGTACAATATCTCTTTTCAAAGACACATTCAAAGGATTCAATCATTAATCTTTCGGCTGTCAACTCGATGTATATAACTTTTAATTTTCAAGAACATTGATGAAGACACACGTTTAATTATCAGCATGATATATCATCACAATCTATTAATATCTTTATAGTCCTCCCTATCAAAGCTATAAAGCTGATAATGAACAACAACAAAAAATAGCTCAGTTTATTTAATTTCAATTTCATTTCCTTTAATTCACAGTTGAAGTTCCATCAAAGCTGTCAAACTCAGTGGAGGTGAGCAACAACTACGACTATTTTGATTGCTCTTGTTCGGCAGATGACCAAGACTGCATTCTGAAATGTTTGAGCGAGGACAATAAAGAGTAAGGATGACAAAATTCAATTTAAATTTTTATTTGTACTAATCTTGTCGATTTTTCAAGTGATGGAATTGGCAATATGTTCCTCTTAACAGCAGGTGAAGTACTTTTGGGAACGGCAATCATAATGGGACTTTCAGCACTCGTGACATTACTTTTGAGAGCATGTACAAGAACAAGAATGCCAAGAAATGGACGAGATATACCAGACATGTTAGATGCATTCGATAGAAATGGAAATCGAGCATCACTGACGTCGTTGCAGCAAACAGTAATGTCAAAATTACGTGATAGACCACCAAGGTATGAGACTAGACACAATTATGAGTATAGAAGGAGAGATGATTCAGATGGAGATAGAAATATTGAACAAACACATCAAGCAACAAGCATACGAAATGTTGCTGTCCTCAATCCAAATGCAAATCGCATTAACGAGCCACCACCTCCATACGAGACAGCAGAGGATGCAAATTCAGTAAGTCTCATACTCTAATTTATTTTAAATACTCGACATAACATGATATAATAAATTTTGCAGGTACATGAGCTTCCTCCTGCTTATACAATAAACTTGTCATCACATGATGATGGTAGCAACAGAGGTGGTGAAAACCGAACAGAATGTGTGGGTGGAATTACCAATCAATCTTTCACATGCGATGAAAATCAACAGCAAGAGCAACAACAATCACAACGGCAAGGCCAAACCACTGGTGGGAACGAAAATACGAGGAATGAAGGCGATATTAGGAATAATTCAATTACTAATAGGACATGCGATAATGTGCTATATATTTAAGTATTTATTGTGCCTTAATAATTTTATTTGTAAATATAATGTATTTATTTTTATACTTAAAAGAGGTTTTGTTTTAAGGGATTATGAATATTATTTGTCTGTTTGGGATAGTCTGGTCAGTTAGGCTTGGTCTGCCTGCAATATTCAGTGGCTCTATATATGGAATTTTGTAGATGCCTTAGAAAAATATATTGTATTTTGTACAGGATGACAGGGATGTAGGTCCTTATCTTAATGATCTAGGTCATATCTGGGATGCCTTCCTTATGCAGCAGTGTCTTCTAAACTTCTTGCTTGTCAAAATTTCGTACAAGAGCGATGAGTGACGTTGTATTTTTTTGCGTACCAACTCGAGATCTTGGTTACACTTAAGTGTATCGCGGATTAAAGTTTGAGCAGTCCTGAATTATTTTTTAAAAATGTCATATGGGGCCGTTTACTTAGTGCGTAACGCTTAAGGGTCCTACTTTTCTAAAGGGAGTTTGAGATTTTGTGACGTACCAAATTTGTGACAATCGGAGTCTAAAGGTGAATAACTTTACGAATCTTTGAACTTTTGGTTTCTTGGTTCCTTGTCTATCCTCAAAAATACCACTTCATTCCCACACCACAGCTACAATAAATTTAAATCTGTAAAATTTGCATCCCCACAAAAAAAATCAAAATTTAATCTCCCCACATCCATTCCTTAAGATTCACCGAAATTTATTTCCAAAAAGTCTTCCTTTTCCTCACATGAAGTCTCATAATGTACGAATCTCAATTAATTTCCATATTTAAGAGGAATTCCACGACAATTTTAATGTATGTAAAATCTTTGAAGCCATAACGCAACCACAAACGCATAACTCTTGTGTGTTAAAGGAATTTCCTTCACGCGCATCACGACAATTATCATGCTCTCATTTAACTCATTTTCTTGTGCTTGTTAGTTGTTCTTAAAAAAATTATTCTGTTCTGTCTGATTGTGACACAACGGAAATCTTTAGCGTTAACATTTCAAACAAAAAAGAAAGTATTTCGCACGATATGGAAATGAAGAATAAAGAAAAAGTAGACAGAAAGGGGTTTTACTTATTTGTGTAAAGATGTCATATCCTCTCTTTTTTTTTAATGCGGAACATCTTCTCATTTTGCCATATTTGCAACGGATGGAGAAACTTTTTTTTCCTTTCCTTAATTCAATTGTTATCTCACCACATTAATCTATTTGAAATATTCCCGCATGTAATTAAAATCATATCCCTTTAAGCTAATTAAAAATCTTTCTCATTTTAATTTTCTTGCGGTTGTGTACGACGTGGAAAATTCTTTTACTTTGGTTCTTTTATTTTTTATCTGCCAAAAAAAGGTTAAGAGAATGGCATCAGCGCATTACTTGATTATTTGCTATAAAGGAAAGAAGTTAAATTTTTTTTTCTGTGTAGAGTATCGTCGTCATCATCATCATCATCATCGCCCGTGATCATAACAGTCGTTCGTTGAAGATGGAAAATATGTTTGTCTTTTTTTTGTCTCCTCTCGAACTTTAATTACTTTTCTGCTTCATAATTTTTTGTCTTCTTCTTCTTCTTTCTCAAATAAACCAGGGTTGATTCTTAGCTATTTGATGGAGTCTAGGTTTTTACTAGGAAGGTCCCTTTTGTTGTGATGACATCACTTGTTTAGACTCATACATGATGAGCCTAAAGCTTATGCTTCCTCAACGTAGATAATACTTGAGTTCAAAGGAATTTGTAAATCAGAGTTGCTGGCTATGAATCTAATCTAATCTATCTAACCAAGTCATGGAAGAGTTCCTAGCCAAAACAAACCTAGTCATATCCAACACTATTCTCACAGATCCCTGCTCCAGGAGCGTAGGCAGGGGAGGGGGGATTTGGGGGACAAATCCCCTTTCGTCTTGAAAAATTTCTTCGTTTTTATGAAAAACTCAAACAAAATCCCCCCCCCCCCCCCGTAAAAATTTTCCATACAAAAACAAAATTTGCCCCCCCCCCCCATTCTTCAAATTCCTGGCCACGCCCCTGCCCCACTCGAATAGCACAAGTCGGTTAATCGAATAGAAATCTGGCACCAAGACGGTATGACTCTGGTATGTTGCTGGTGTTGATCTAAATCCAGCACAATGCTAAAGTCACACCGGCTTGGTGCCAGATTTTAATCAATTAAGAGACTTGTACCATTCGGGCAGATACCTTGACAATTAAAAATGAAGACTACAATAAAGCATCTAGGTTACACAACATCTGATCATAGCCCGATCCAACGATCTAAGTTCCCATCCCTGCTCCACACTAAATGAAAGCCTCGTTCCTTTTATTTTACGCTTATGCTCCTTTAGTTCCTGTGTGTACTTTCATTTTATATATTTTTTTTCTTCGTCGTCTCATAATGATGAAAAATAAAAGATAAAAGTATAGCAGAAGACATAAGCAGAAAGGAGTTAATTCAATGCAATGCAATGAGTGTCGTTTTTTGTTTGTTTTTTGCTTTTCTTTCCTCATCATTTCAAACTCATATCTATCTATCTTGAGAATGAGAAAGGAAAAATGACGTGGAGGTGTGGGTTGAGATATGGAAAGGGGTGTTTTTAGAGAAATGATTTTTTTGAGGGGTTGTGCATCGGTTTTGGGATGTTGAATAAGATTTTTGTGGAATTTCTGATTTAATTCTGATGTCGATACATCACCAGAAAGTCTGAATCCATCACAAATCCTTTAATAATCCATAACATTGAAATCAGCCCCTCATCACATCCTCCGAAGCATTACATTTTCATTCCACTTTCCTCATATTTAGCAACAAAAATAAAAAAAAAATATTTTCTCAAGGAAAACGAACAAGGAGGAGATGAAAAATCTATATTTTCTCATCAATGCATTGTCTCATCGTCAACATGAATATGTATTTGAAAGATGTCATTTGGTGACAACTTATTTACAGTACTTTTCATTTCAAATTTTCCTTCTTTTTGTACTTTTATTATTTTATATGTTTTTATATACTTACTTCTTTTATTTTGTGCACAAGCATAAACAAAACATTTTTTAAGACAGAAGTCAGTTAATATAAAGAAAGACAACAGCAGTTGTGAGTTTACATCATATTTCAGGTTGTAAGATGCGAAAATCAAAGGGTTAGACACTGAGTTTGGATTTGAGATTTTATTCTGAGGGTTTTGGATTTGTTTGATCTATGTCTGAGTTGCGGTTGAAAAGAAGCAACCACGAGTTTTTAAATAATATGGCTCAGTGGAACCTAGGCACTACAGATTCTCAGTAAATGTCAGCTGCATATGCTTGAGACTTTTACATCAGTATCAGCAGCTCTACTGTAGTTGTCCGATAGCTATGTTTGTGACTAGTTGTTGAGATCTAGTCGCTTTCACATACTCAATACAACACATACGAAGTTGTAATGTCGTGAGCCTTGTGCAAATCCTTGTCATACAATAGCGTGTCCCAACATATAGTTTGGAATCCACTGCTTTATATAATCTGATAGAGATATCTGTCTCTGTTGAGAAACGAACCCACATCCTCACAAAAGTGGGTTACAGATATATGGTCTATTGCCTTACCACTCACGCCATAGAGACCTAAATCTTGCTCTAGCATATTTGCCTTTATATGCCTAGATACCCACAATTCAACTTTGGTCAGACAACTTCATAGAGTCTAAATCTAAATGCAGCAATAACTACAAATATAAAATATTTTTATTGACAATGACAATGACATCTCTTTCTACTAGCTTCAATATACAAAATTTTTGTGCAGAAAAAAAATATGAGGAAATGTGAAGCACAAACATAAAAAGTCAAGGTTTTTTATTCCGAAAAGATAAAGGAATGAAAATTTTTATTTAAACTCTGTCATCATCATCATCATCTCTTGTACATTTTTCAACAACATTTCTTCATTTATGTCACAGCATAACAACAATATTACACTTAACATGCACTTTGATGACATAAAATGTCCAAATCAACAAATATCTCAAGGCATCATTGTGCATTTATCTTTCATTATCTTTCCATCTCTCTTACTCACTCTTTTGTACATGCTGTATATGTGTAAAAATGAAAATGTAACATTATGATGATGACTATGGATGATGATGGGGGTTGCTTGTGAAATGAATAATATTTTAAAACTTGTGTATGTGCAATATTGTGCATCCATCTCTCTACATACCTCTTCCTAAACATTTTCATTTTGTCTATTTTTTCTCTTCTTAGTCTTTCTACTGTTTCATATCTAATTCTCCTTTTGTGCAAAGCATGTAACAACAACTGTCATGAATAATCAAGTTATTACAAATGATTTTGCCCTTAGACACTTCACATCTTCAACATTTATGTTTCATTTCTATTTTCCAAACTATTTTCATCTTTTCATGCTACAATATATATATAATGCTCGGTGTCTATATATGTATACATCTTGTCTGTATGTTGTCATTTCAAATTGAATCTATCAACATTTGAGAAATGAACACTAAGAACTTTATAACTCTATGCAGTACACTGGAGGGATGATGAAGCTTGTAAGATATTGAGGAGATATGAATGTAAAATATATATTGCATTATAAGGACAAATTGCAGTAAGGAAGTACAAAAGGTGACATTAAATCAATTGAGAGAATTAAAATGAAATTTTACTGATAATGTGCAGTATTGATTTTCTATTATTAGGTGAATTGAATCATTTGTGATCATTACTGTCTATTGGATGCATTGATGGGATTTTTGGAAAATTATGGAAATGTCCTTATTAAGTATTTCTGTGCTGCTTGCAATTTAATTGTTTAATATTTAAACTGGATGTTGAAAATTTTATGATTGTCTTATTTGCTATTGCCGTTCAGTATTTGACAAGATGATCATGATTTAAAGCATTTTACATAAATTGGAAAGGGTTCGTGCAGGGGAATAGTTAAAAACTATTTGAAGGTGTGTTCTAATCAAGGTCTGACCTCTTTTTTTATAGACTTTCAATTTTAAGCCAGGGAAGTAAGTAAGTAAGTTACGGTACAATATATTCTATCATCGTTCAAAATCGCAGTGCCTCCAGCTCGTAGGAACACATCGCTTGGCTGGATTCCTCTCACATTTTTATTATGTATTAAGTAAGTAAGTTGCAATTTTAAGAAAGTCCAAATTTGAATCCTTTTTAATTTAATCTCAATATGGGATCAGGACTACTTTTTAACCCCAAGATCAGTAGTGTTCAACCTTTTTTGTGTTACGGCACACTTGGTCGTAACATCACATGGTTTTGAGGAAGTGCCAATTTTTTTTACAACATAATAATATGCCACTGCATACGGGTTGGCTATCACTGCTATTGATAACCTTCTGGCCTCTTCAAAATGACAGGGTCTCCTTCTCGCAAGAAATGTCATCAAAAATGGAGGAAGGAAGTTTAGATCTCAACAAGAATACCCTTGAAAAGTTTCTAGCTACGACCCTAGTCTTATCATTCCACTACTTCCTTGATGCATTACGAATCCTAGATAACTCTTCAATATATTTCACAAAATCATCCATCGAGCAACTTTTATTAAGTCGTCGTTACACATTACCACAAATAAGATTTGATACCTCAAGAAATGTCTGTAAAGCAACAATAAATAATTCCTAGATGCTTCCACATTTACTTTCCTCTATCTCATCTTTAGATATATAATTTTCATCAATATTTATTAACATCTTCCATTCCTCATATAATCCTGTCTTATATCACATCAGAAAAGTGCCATTTCATTATTGATTTCCATCATCATAATCATCATCATCTTCATCCCAACATTGCCAAGATTATTCGTATTTTTCCTCATTTTACTCATCTTTCATAGCCATAAAACACAACATCTCATTGAAGCAAATGGCAGTGAAGATTGAAGTGAAGTGCGACGGCAGGAAAAGAAAAAAAAATAAAAGTTTTTCTGTCGATTACGTGACTCCGATATATCCCAGACATTAGTTTTCATCTCTTTTAGCACACACAAAAATTTCTCCTTTCTTTTTTTTTTCTGGCCATGATCGAACTTCACGTATCATCCTGAGCCTTATCGATCAATCACCACCATCAAAAAGCAGGTAGAGAGAAGAAGAAAACTTTTTCCTTACCGAATAGAGATGGAAGAGCTCGTAAATCCCCAAAGTGTACATCAGCACGCCATCGTCATCAAGGAAAGAAGAAAAAGATTGTTAGTGGAAGATGACGATGATGGTTTGAGGATAAATGGATGGAAAGTTTTTTTATATGACAGAAAAAAATTTTATTTTCAGCTCAATAAGTATATTTATGGATTTTATATCCACATATGGATAGTATACGACAAAATCAAAGGGGTTTCCTATCTCGTTCACTGTATTCGGAATAATAAATCATATCCACTTAATTCCCTATTTGGTCTCATCTTCTACTTGTTATTTGCTTTTCTTACTCTCTCCTCGTCGTCGTTGTCATCCTTGCCTTTTTCATTTACATGTGTTTGGAGAATTTTTCTATGACTTATAAAAAATTATATGTGGATAGATGGATGGATATATTAATTTTATATGTATGAGAAAGGATAAATGACAGACGAGAGGAGACAAAGAAATTTATTTATGGATGTCATATGAAATGAAGATAAATCTGAAAAACAGGCAAAGGAGACTCAAGTCAAAATATTTAATTTTCTACTCGTAAATTTAATTTTACTCATCCTTTTTTGTGTCTTGAAACTTGAGGAATGAAACTCAATTAATTTTGTTTTTGTGGTTTAATTGAATAATGGATATAAAGGAATGGGGGGGGAGAAGGGTTATGTCAGGGATATTGACAATTTTTGATAACTTTCAATTTAATTTGCAATTTTAAAAATCATAAGGAACTTCACATCAAAATAACCACTAGCTATTCACTTCTTACGTAGCCTTTTAGCTAGAAGTAGAATTCACTAGGATTCGAACTGCTTTATAACCGAAAATTCAATTTATTCCAATGCTTTGTCTTTAATAAGCTCCAAGTTTCATCTCTATAATGATAAAGCGTCCTTAATGAGTCTCGAACCCAAGCTTGCCAGTTCATCATTATAAGCTTCAGTTACTTAAGTATTTTTATATCTGCTCAACCGAGCTACTCTGCACCACATGACTCATTCCAGATAAACATTCATAACTTCACCAATGACATTAATTTGCACTAATTAATTCAATAAAAAGATCTGCAAAATGTCTGTACACGCGGTTTAAAATCCTTTCATAATCAAGATACTATTCCGATAATTCAAACATCAACTTTACGACCAGTATAAAATTCCAATTTAATCTTAGTAACAAATTCACTTTACATTTTCATCTCATTTTTGAAGTTTATTAAATTATATCTACAAGATCTGCATCCAAAAAAACTTCTTTTCTTCTTACGCTGGAATTATCTTTGAAGTATTTTTCATTCACTTTTTCTTTCTCCTCAAACGAGAGAAAATTTAAATAAAGACTAAATAAATTGTAGCTTAATATCTTCTTTTAAAAACAGCAAACAATAAACTAAAGAGATGAAATCTGAGGGTGTTCTAGTGTGAGAAACTTGCCAGCAAAGCTAAGAGACACATTCATTGCAGCCTTAAATTTATGGATTATCGCTTTACACTTATAAATATTTTTCCTTCATCTTCTTAATAGTGGCAAGAGAGTATCTCATTCTCAAAGCTTGTGGAAGCACCATCAGTACCATTATTGAAGATGAAAAGAAGAAGAATGTCGGAAGCGATTGCGATTTGTGAGGAAAGAAAGATTGGAGGAAGGAAGGTGATGGTTTTGGTGTTTTTGGTTAAGGTGCGCATTTTTTGAAGGAGTTAAAGAGGATGGTAAAAAATGAAAAATTGACCATAACAATCATAATTTTCTTTCGAAAATGATGGGACTTGAACCCATGCTCGCATGATGCAACATTAATACTATGAGTTTCTGTACCATGTATTTCTGTCAACAGGCTAATAATGAACTTAATTTTGCACAATTAAATCCTGCTTAAAAAGAATATGTTTTGATAGACGATCCTCAAAGAGAAGTCACGAATACATCCAGTATAGTCAAACTGATCAGCTCTCAGCTCACTCAATCGGCAATAAAGCACCAAGAATTTTTATTTTATTTATATTGAGTGGTGCAGTAAATTTTCTCTCTAATCAAAATCATTGAGTCAAGTACACTTTCCAGTTCTTCTTCTTCACTCGTATTGCATTACTTGTAGTTGCCTGCTTACTTCCTTGCAGCAAATATTAAGAGCAGCAGCAGTTTCAGTCGAAGAAATGAAAACAAAAACATTGAAAAGGAAAAATAATAAAAGTAGATTTATGGTTTTTAAGGCAAAAGAAGAACTGGGAAGCAAGCAGAAAAAAGAGAAAAAAGAAATAAAAGAAACTGCTGGCATAAATTATGCTTTGAACTTCTTTTTTTTCCTTTAAACAATAAATTAAGGATATGTGTCTTCTTCATGAAGGATTTATGACGAATTTATTCTTTTATTATGGTGCAGTGTCTTTCTGTACTGCTCTCAACACACAAAAACCAAAAGAATTTATGTCCGTGAATAATTATTCTATGTAGTGTTCCCTTTTTATTGCCCGTTTGTATTTCTTTCTCACTCGCTTTGCTTGACTCATCTCATCTTTCCGCTTTTTTTAACTTTTCTCTTCGCTCTTCTCTCGTTTTTTTTTTTTGAAGTTGTGGACACAATAAATATATCTTGTGCTGTACTCATCTCCTTAACGAACATTTTTTAAGTACTCGACATTGCATGACAATTTTTCTTTTAAACAACGAATGTAAATTACGTAAAATCACGCATGACTTGATTATAAAATCCACCTTTATCCACTTATTGCAGCATTAAGGAATGCCTTACTTTTTAATTCTCATGTTTTTTTGGGGGAATTTGTTAAGGCATTGGATATGACATGATGTGGATTATTTTTGAACAGCCCAAAAAAAAGAAGGCTATGCTTATCTCAAAAATTTTAAAGTAATAAATTTTTGGGAATCGAACCATCGAATTTTTATATTATTTCGACCTCAATGAGTATCCATTCGACCATATCGTCAGTTAAATCTTTTATTTTAATTTGATTAAAATTTGATCATTTCCAACATATCTTCAGTTTGAACCTAAATTCAGCATCATCGCTCTATAAAATTTAAAATGACTCAAAATTTCAAAAATTTATATTTCAAAATGACTTTAATAGCTTTGCATTAAAATCCTAATTCAAAAAACATTTTCATAATGCTCTAATTTATGTGCATCCCGACAAAAAAAAAAGAGCAGATTCAAACCAAAGCCCATAAATCCATCACACATGCGGACAAAAATACAAACGAAAAGAAATTCCCTAAAATTCATAAAAATATTTTATTGTTCCTCAATTTTTGATTTATTTCTTTTCAAATAATCCTTCAAATTACAATCAACGAGCTCGTTCACCTTAGTGACTTTTATGTATTTTCCATTGTGTTCCTATAGCTCGTCACATCACACACATCACAAGCCATAAATCTATGGCAGATGTCACATAATCAAAAGGAATCAAATGGTTTTTACGACTGGACTATTTTCCATCTTTACCATCTTCCTATATTTTTATGATTGTTTCTTCTTCTTGTGCAGCATCTTTGGATCATTACTTATTACTTGTACATTTAACTATCCACATAGAATATTATTTGTTATATATATTAATTTTTTTTCATTGACAGTGTTGCTGTCTAGTAGATCCAAAGTACAATTTGGGTAATGTGGACATACTTTAACAGTACCTAGGGCTTCTAATGTTCTGCCGTACATAGTGTTAAGTTAGTCTAGTAAGTTTTATCTGACCCAGATGCTGTATTATGTGATTTTGCCTAGATAAGGCACAATGTCAATGATCTGAACCTTCACTAGCAATTTAAAACTACAACTCTGCATTAGACTATTCTGTATAGCTGTAAATCGATAGATAGTAACATCAATAAATCCTAGAAATGTACAAAATCTATGAAATGTGTGGTTAAGATTAATATCATCATATTATTATATTTTTGCTATTGTGAAATGTAATAGAAAATAAAAAGTAGGAAGAAGGAGAAGTAAGGAAAAGACAATAAAAGGTAATAAAGCAATGCACACACAAAGTTATTGTCAATCAAGTTAAATTAATGGACCATGTGATGTAAGATTCCTTTTGTAATTTATTAAATTTTTTGATATATGTATGCTTACTTTTGATGCATTAATGATAATTCCAATTCTGCAGTTAGAAAAAAAATAATAAAAGGTTTTTATTTTCATGTGCAAACATATTGCACATTTTTCACTTACTTCTTCCTTTCTCTTTATTGATTCCCATCAATTTGATTAATTATTTCCAATATTTCAATGCCCTTTTGCCACATCAAAAATCTATACTTTCCATTGATTATTATTAATTTCACATTTTTTTCTATTCTTTTCCTCTTACTCTTTTTTTTCTCTGTTTTTGTGGATTTATTGCTGCTGCTGTTGCGTGATATTGATCATTGCCAAATATCATGTTTACATTAGACATTTTTTTCGATGTTGAAAATAATATTTTTGCAATTTTTTGGAGGTAGGGTGGTTAATTCTTGACTAGTTTGATTATTAATAGGGAAATGGTGAATATTTGCTCATGGATGAAATGAATATAATCATTTAATCATAAGTTGGAGTATATTTTTGTTTCTCAATCGGTGCCGTTCACTTATTACGTTACGCAAACGACTTTTTTCACCCCCCTCCCCCCTTGTTATAATATGTTATAACTCACCCCCCCCCCCCCCTGAACGTTCATAATTTATTTTATTTTGATAATTTTTTATAAATCATTAAAAAGGTGGAAAATTTAAAAAAATGTTTTTGGTGTGAATTTGTAAATTTTCATGAATTTAAATCAGTGTTGCATTCTGAGACAGAAATTTCTTCATAAAGATCGATTCTACATGAAGATAGAAAATCTAATCTATACAAAGATTATTTCTACATAAAGATTCTGTCTACATAAAGATTCGATGTAGATGTCTACAATTCTACATTTTTTCCAGGTCTACATCAGAGAAGAATGTAGAATTATAGACATCTACATCGAATCTTTATGTAGACAGAATCTTTATGTAGAAATAATCTTTCTGTAGATTAGATTTTCTATCTTCATGTAGAATCGATCTTTATGAAGAAAGTTTCTTAGCTAGACAAAAACTATTGAAGAATCTACATTCTTCATCTAGTGTAGACATCTACTTTTGCAACACTGATTTAAATTAATAATGACGATGTTTATTTTTCAAATTTACAAGAGGATATCAACTAATTCTAGTTGTTTATATGATTTGAATATAAAGTAGCCGTTACCAAATTCTCAACAATAACGAAATCTTTCTTTATTTCAAATTTGGAATTATTGTAGTTTAAGTTACATTTCTTTGAGTCTTATTTTGACACCAGCCTGAATATGGCTTTAATTCAACTATATCTTGATTAATTATTAATTTTGATGAATGAGATTTACATATATCATGAAAATGTGGCATAAAAAGTTTAAAAAAAGTTGCCGAGCGAGAAAAAAAAAAAAAAAAAAAAAAAAAAAAAAAAAAAAAAAAAAAAAAAAAAAAAAAAAAAAAAAAAAAAAAAAAAAAAAAAAAAAAAGCTTTTTTTTAAGCTTATGAACTCTCAACAATAGATTTTAATTTCAATCTTGACTTGAACAATTGTAAAATTTAAAAATTCATTATTTATAGTCAACCAACTCTTAAAAATGCGCTTCAATCGCCCCTTCAACCAAAAAGATTACCAAAAATCTTCTCGGTCCAAAGAACATACACACGTATGTGCATGTTTTTCTTTTTGATTTGTTGTAGATTGATTTATAATCACATTTTTTGCGCATAAAAATAAATACGATATGAAAAGGGAGCGAAAAATGCTTCGTGCAATAAAATTTGATATCATATGATGTGTGTATTTTATTTTTAACCAAATATAGCTTCAATAATTTTTATATTACCAAAAAAAAAAAAAAATAACAGGAATGAGTGAGACGAGAGGAGCGAGAAAAAAAATTTCAGTTTTATGTGAGGCTATAAATCATAAGCGAATCGCTATTCGTGGAACCATCTAAATTGTGTAATAATCCAACCTAATAAAAATATCAAAATGTGCAGAAAAAAAACTGACTGAAACTCATATGACGTATTTATCATAATCGCGCGTTTATCGCAACCTATATATCAAAATTTGAATATATGAAAATTTAATGAATGATAGTTTGTGTGTTGATGGGAATATTAGATTGATTATGCACAAATATTAAGGTTGAATATCATGACTTTTGGGATGTCGTAAGGTGGACTTTAAAAGCTGTTTGCCATCAAAATTTCTTAAACGATGACAGCTGTATAAATTGCTACTCATAAAACTACACAATTTTTAATTCAGTCGCGCTCAATTTGACGAAATCATTAAAATTGTCACTAAAGTAATGAACATTTTTCATAAGAAAATATTGAAATACTTAAACTTACAATGTATGAAGCAGTTCCAATTTCTGGTCATAAATTTTGAGCAAAAACTGCGTTCACATGCAGAGTTGTGGCTTGGTTTTCATTAATATGATACTTTGCATGCTAAAGATAAAGAAATCGATTAATTTTTGAATCAAGAATCTCGTTCATTAAAAGTTTTAGCAGTGGAATCGTCAATAAGCTCTGTACGCAAACACTAATCGGGAAGACAGTTTGTTATTTCGTTCTTTAGAGTGGATTTAATTGGTGGACAATGAATGATGAACGCAAATCCGAAGTCTAATGAACAGAACAAATCAAATAGCTGCTGGATTGTAAAAATGGCTCGAAGAGCATATCTGTAGTAAATAAGCCTGAGCATAGAGCTCGCAGTGAAACTGGTTGTATGTGTATGAAGGATAGCCGAAGTGAGATAAGTATCCGTTGGTCGAGTGGCAGGGATCTCTGATCGAGTGGTCAGAAATCGCATATTTTGAGGTCGTGGGTTCAATTCCCATCAAACATTACATTACATTTGTATACACATATGAAAGTTATAGGGAGATCTACCTGGACCTGGCTAGAAATTCATCAGGATTACTCTTTCAAGTTAGTAAACCAATTTTTGAATGGTTTTAAGTGCAATCCTAAGGTTAAGATCTTTCAAACGGACCATATGTTAACATTTGACAAAAATAATCTTAAAAACAGTCATCAGATTCAATTAAGTTGACAAAATAACAAGAATAACTTAGCCAGTTTATGACTGTAATAATATTAAATCTGGATTTGCATAAAACTTACTTAAAAGCAATCCAGAATACAAGAAAAAAATATCTGCCAATCATCAATTCAGCAGAAATCCAACACCTGATTCTCAAGAACTGCAACAAAATATTGCAAAAAATTCATTGCAAAAAAAATCACAATTTCGAAACTTTTAGCAATAAATTTACTAAATAGCAAACTGACTCATTTGATTCACATTAAATCGATTAATCTTTTAGCATGCATGCACATGAAGCATATGAATAAGAAATATTTAAATTATTATATCAACTTTGAAACCTCAATTTGCAATAATGTGATTGAAGTTTTGAATTGAAAATTGATCGAGAGGAGTTGACACATAAAAAAAAAAGATTGTGAAGTAAACAAGTATGACAGCAGCTAATAATGATTTGTAGCTCAATTTATCCATGAAATAGACTGAAAGCCTTAATTTAATTTTGTTTCGTTTTGCACAAATACATCGAATTCAATAAAAAAAAAGCGCTATAATAATCGCAATCATATGATGACAGCTAATAATAATAGGTATGTAGCAAGTAAGTAAGTGAAAAAAAAAGAGTTAGCAAGTAGCAAAGACTTCAATAATTTATAAGCAAATGTGCCGTTAACAAACTAGTCATACCGTAAATGATGTGTGGAAAGAGCATTTTTATAGCGAAAAACTTTTTTTTTCACGGTCTTTAAAATTCCCCGCTGTGAAAATTTGATATGTTAGCGATTATGATCGGCAGAATATAGGAATAAAAAAAAGGCTGAATTTATAGTTTGAGCAAAAGGCGAGTGATATGTACGTATATACATTTTTTTGATTATAGCATAACACAAAATTAATTGAATGCAATAAATTATTTATTATAAAAAATCATTAAACATTGTGTCAATGCCACAGCATACACACACACACACTATCTGCTGTAATACTGCTGTAAATTATTGTATAGTGAGGGGTGCAATTTTTTGTCATACACTGCATAGATTAGACTGGCTTCTCGCTCGTTCTCATTCTTCATTCCATTTTCGATACATTTTATTGCAATAAAAATAATAATAATGGGCAATAAATCAACAAAAAACGATAGATTTTGGTGTGTTGAAATGTGCTCTTTTTTGGCATTGCTTCGATGTGGCGTCGTTTATCAGTTATGTCTGTGGTTTTAGATTGGAGTTGAATCTTTGAATATCAAGTCATAATGTAGGTGAATTTGTCAGTGCGAGGGTAAGGCTCTTCTATGGTTGAATGCTAAGGTTGCAAACCAATTAAAATCTATTGGACATGGGTTCGATTCCCGCCAGATGCATTTGATTTTTTAAGCAATACAGAATTTTTAAAAAGGTTACCACTCATGTCAGGTACTTACTTACTTAAAGTGACGTAGCAAGAGAGATCTTACTCAAGTTTTGGTTCGGACAGCTTTGAAAATAGTCAAAAAACCACATGCAAACTAGGTCAAAATATTACAAAAAGCCCTAGTTGCAAATGCTCTTGTTATGTTTCTGTTTGCTTTATCTTCGTGGTAAGCATGCAAATGGGTTCTCCATCTTCAGATTGCTTTAGCTGGTTTTTAACTTTGTAAGCTTCAATAGAACAGTACTTTGAAATAAAGAAATTTGATTTAATCCTAAGATCCAGTCTATCGAAGGAAGGTCATCCGAAATATAAGACATCATTTAAGCACAACCCCTATTGCAATCGATTGCCATTCTCTTTTATGCTGAAAAATAAAGATTTGACTTCTCAGAACTCCAAAAGAAACAACCGAACCTGGAAATAATTCAAAGAGTTGAAGGAAAAATAAGAAGCCTTAAATTTTTATTATTTTTATTTCTTTTCCATATTTTTCAATATTTTATTGTTAATTTTTTTTCACTTTTAACATTTACAGTTTTTTATTTCATTTATTTTTTGAGCTGCATTTAATTCTTTTTTTTTATTCAGATTGCACCCAGAAATGATCATCAAACTTAATTGAGTCACTTTGTTTGCGGAGCTAATGTTTAATTTTGCTTGCATCTTCTTTAAGTATGATTTCTTATGTAAATTGAATTTTTTTTGCTCAAAAAGTTTTGCATTCGAAATCAAATGAATTTAAATAATTTATTTTTTTAATTTTCATTACCTTTTAAATTTGATAGTATTTAATAAAATTTTTTTTTAAATTTTTCATTGCATTTCTTCTGCCAAAAAAGTTTTATTTTATTTGGAGGATGTATGTACGCAAACGTATACTTGTTTTTACTATTTTTTTATATCTCACTTTTTGTTTCTCGTATCTCTGAATTTACACTTCATCGTATAATTTTTTTTTTGTATGTTTAAGAGTATGTTTAATGCATGAAGGATTATAATTAAATTGGATTAAATTGATAATGTTTCGACAAGCTATCGAGGTTTATTTAGGTTGATCAGTGTTCAAGTCTTTTTAACGGTGTTTAACATATTTATGTCCTTAAATTATTAAAGTTTTTTGCTTTTACTTTGTAAATGAATTTTAATGATGCCTTTGAGGTTATATGAATTTTGAATTTTATCATTTTGGTTGGTAATTTTGATTTTTGGATCAGGTTCAGAGTCTGGTTTTGTATTTTAACACATTTTAAAATCTTACTAGAGCTATTATAGTACTTATAAGGTTGATTATAGTTCAATTATAGCTACTATTGTATAGCTACTAAGAATTAACCTATTGCAGAGATCTAAATGAAATATAATCTACATCAGGTAGTCATTAGGTTAGACTTTTGTTGTCCTTAAGTAATCTTTAGTCTTTTAAACAATATCACATACTTATTAAGTATACATGATACAATTTTGACAAACTTAGCTCGATTGAACATCCATTTCAGATCAAATTAATCAAAGAACTTAACTTCAATCTTCTTTAACGCCTAGAACTTAAAATCAACATGAATCTAGCTGGATTCTTCATGAAAATGTTCGAATTGACTTCAACCAAAGTTCATGTTGTCTTCTTATTCTGTTACAAAACCAAACTAAAGCCGATCGCGGCAAATTCCCACAAAGATCTCTTCATTATGACTGAATATTTATCGAATCCAAACAGTTATGGATTCAGACCAGAAGTGAATATCATTAAATTTCATTTATCATTTAATTCTTTAATTTCTTGAAGGTAAAATAAATTTTTTTATATCATTTTAATCCAATAAATTATGATCTTTATGCATTATCGTATTAATAAATATATTCTCATTTTTATCGTAATGTTTTTTTTTTTTCATTCTCCAGAAATATGTAAATTATAAGAGTGGCTATAACATGTCATTTGTATTGGAAGTACCGAAAAAAAAAATAAATTTTAGTTCATCAAAAATAAAATTTTATTTTTTTATTTTTTCCAAAAAGAATTAAAATACTTTTTTTTAATCATAATAAATTCTAAAATGTCTCATAAACATGACTTTAAACAGATTTTGTTGTGTATTTTGTGGTTTTTAAAACTCTTTTAATGCCAGCAGTAAATACGTATACGTTAATGAAGATTCCTCATTTTAAAAATGATTTAATTGTTTCACTTAATTTGCTTAACACGCGTATCTAAATGCAATTTATTTTTTGTGTGAAAAAACTTTATAATTTGTTTAATTTCACTTCCATTATTTACACAGCAATTTTGTTTTAAATATTTTTTTAGCATTTCTTCGATAAAAAAGATTTAATTTTTTTTTTCATAATAATTCTCATTCATTCTCTAAATATTGATGTGGAATAATTAAATATTTTTTGTTTTTTTCATCAAATATGTGAAACTTATGCATCTGCTCGATATACAAGAAATTTAATTGGTAAATAATTTACATATTAAAAAGTCTTAATAATTTTTTTTTATTATTATTATTTTCACATTTTCTCCTCTTTCGCCTTTTCATTATCTCTTAATTTATCAACGTAATAGTTTAGCTTACGTTTAAATGTAGTTTAGTTTTACTTTTCTATATAAATTTTATTTATTTTTATATTTAAAGTACTGTATCATTACAATAAATTTCATTTTACTTCTTTTGCAGTTTTTTTTCTTTATTTATTTTTTTTAAATTTACTATCTTTATAATAATGTTATAAGTAAGTCAAGTCAATTTTCAGTTTATGTGTCCGGTGGGTGTTTCGGATGGCTTTGCTTTTGATGGACTTTTAATTTAAGCAAATCTTTTTTTTGGAGGTTTGAAAATGATTTTTTAGATGTGAATTTAAGTTTATTGAATTTTTAAATTTATTTTATTTGAATTTTATTTCAATTTTCGATTTTTTTTAACAGTTTTACTAGAAAATTGAAGTTTTTTCTAAATTTAAAATTCTTTTTAGCTGTACTAGGGTTGTCCAAGCTACAGTAGGGTTGCCTAAGCTATAGTAATGTTGTGGAAGCTATATTAGGGTTGCCCAAGCTATAAATGGGTTTCTTAAGCTATACTAGAATTGCCATAGCTTTACCAGGACTAGCTAAGCTTAACTAGGGTTCCACAAGCTAAACTAGGGTTGTCTAAGCTTAACTAGGGTTGTCTAAGCTTAACTAGGGTTGTCCAAGTTAAACTAGGGTTATTTAATCTAATGTAGTGTTGTCCAAGCTTTATTAGGGTTGTCCAAGCTATACTAGGTTTGCACAAGCAATAAAAAGGATGCGTAATCTTTAGTAAGAATGCCAAGGATCGCCATAGCTATCCATTGTATAAAGTGATCTTCACTTAGCTTCATGTAAAATTTTTTGTATAGCTCACGGTAGATCTAGGTTGCGTCAGGAGAAGGGTTGCTTTTAAATACCCAACAATAATTATTTTCAATTTTGCAAAGACTTATCAGAATAAATCCTTAAACTCGTTCCTACAAAACAAAATCTCCTGATTCATGGACATTTCGCTGTTATTTCATAATTAAGCATCAAAAATCGCTTCAAATATAAATAAACCTGCCAATTCTCTCCAAATTCCCATCCAAAAAACCTCAATCCTTCAAAATAACACTTTGCATCGCAAAACAACAATCAACAACAAAACTGACAAGCAAACGCCAAATGGTAACTGCTTGACAACATTTTCAGTTCTTCATTCCACCTGGCATTCACTTGACATGATGTCAAGATTTTTTTCATGTTGATAAGTACTCCAGATGCTGTCAATAAATAAAGAGTTCAAAATTTTGGATACAAAGCCATCGAAAAATGTGATCTCTTTAACCCCACTGGACACGAAACTATTCATTTTATTTCTCTTCAAAAAAGCAGAAGAAAGAAACAAATAAAAATAATTTTTCGAAAGTTTAACGCCATCATCCAATGACAATTCGTATAGCAATTTTTTTGTTATTTATGATTTTTTTTTTTCTCAAGGTAATTTTTTTTCCATATTTTTTAATATACTTATTTTATGAAGAGGTAATTATTTTTCGCTCATATCTTTTGCGCATTTATGTATTGAAAGAAAAAAAAGTTATTAAATCAGGTTATTGCAAGTTTCACCAAATGAAATTTATTGAATCTCATTTTTATATCAAGACCGTAAATGCAGATCAATACAAATTGATGTGAGCATGAAGAAAAGAAATGAAAAAAATAAATAAATTTATCTGTATTTGGATGTGTCGTGTTTAATTAATGTTACACCATGCGGAAGTTATTCATTTGTGGTTTTGTGATGTGTTAATTGCCAAAAAAAAAAAAAGAAATGGTTAACAAGATGATTCAACGTGTGGCTTTTCATGAAATGAAAGTTTCGTCATCAAATTTGATACTCGATTTATAGCTGACATCGAATTTTCTTGTAGAATCATCATTAGCTTTTATGGCTATCAAGTCGTATGCTAATTCTGTTCCATTTTATAGCTAATTAATAAATCTATCAGATTGTGTTGATTTAATAGCTTGAAAATGTATTAATCGAGGACTACAAATATGCTTAACAGATGATATAAATTTAATGATTTTAGATCGGTTCCGTAGACTCATTGAGACATCCTTGAGCTGATTGTTTAATGACTTGACTATTGATGCTAGTTGTGAATCTTTTAGCATATGATTAATTATCAAATTTGCAATTTTTGAATGATATTTGCAGATTTCCTGCTTGAATTGGATAAAATTGGATGCTGTTAAGATCAGTGAAGATCTTTAGCTGTGCTAGAATGTGATTTCATGTCTCTTAACAATTTTAGAAATGAAAATCTGCTAGATAATTGCAAAAACCTTAGAACTATGATTAAAAGCTCTAAATTCGAACTTAGTTTAAGAATATTTTAAGTTTTCAACAGACAAAAGCAATGCTTAATGTTCTTTATATTCGACTTCGTTGTTAGGGAACATTCAGTTGAGTCTAAGTTTAACTTTCGAGTCTATATGAATCGAAAACAACTTATTATGGTTGACCAGGATTCGATCTAATGACCACTAAGCTACTTTAGGCTCAATCTTGATAAAATTCATTGGGAATCGAACTTGATTTAATAAAATTTAAATCTAGGAACTTCATGTCATCAAAACATCGATCAAATCTTATTCCACATGGCAATAACTTAAACACCAGACTAGAAAAATACCAAAGAATCCAAAAAAATTCCGATAAAAGAAGACAAAAACATAATTTTTTTTGGCACATTAAAAATTGAAGATTGTGAAATTTTTTTTTGCTTATTTTTTCCGTATACAAATTTTTTACTTCTTGTTGAAAATTTATTTTAAATATAATTGTTATCATTCGAAAAAGAACTTATTCATCGTATATTCTTGTACATGCATTGAAAAAAAAGTGTCAGAAAGATCGAATACTTCTGTTTCAAAAAATTAATTTTGCAGGGTTTTTTATTACTATTTTTTTTTCGTATAGTTTCAATTTCATTTATTGCGTATACGTATAAATTTTCATATAATCAACAGTATATCGATGTTTCAATTAATATGGATTTTTTGTTGCTTTTATTGTTTTTTTTCCATCTCACAATTCTTTTTTTTTTGTTTCATTTTACCGAAATAAGTTACAATTCGTATAGTGGGAGCAAAAAGAGTAATTTTTCAATATTAAATCATAATTGAACAACCATTTTAATGCTGTTTTGTGGAAATAAATGGAAGAAAGATTTAACTTTTTTTATATGTGTGTATATTAATCGTATAACAATTGTTTCTCATCTTTCACGAAATGAAAATAGAAGAAAAAAATGGAAATAAAATTTTATTTATTGACGTCTTCATCATGAATTTCTGTCCATTGTACGGAATTGCGATTAATTTCGCAGTATTTTAATTTTGATTTGGAGGCAGGAGCGTAGCTAGGTTTTTAATACCAATTGTTTAACCTCGATGAGGTCAAATGGAGATGATTTTTTGGGTATATCCATGCAATAATAGCTAGTATGACCAGGATATATCCAAAAATCCACCCCCTGACTACGCCATTGCTTAAATTTCGATAGACGAAAAAGAAATAATTTTTTAAAAATCCACATAAAGGAAATCATGCAAAAAATGATGCTCAATAAAACTCATCTTTTTCTTGTCTTCATCAAATACCCGGCTTTGAGGTTATTTCTCTTATTTTATCCACAATTCAATAGACTTACGTATTTACAGCATTTTATGAATTACATTTAATAGCGAAGTTAATTATAATTAATTGTATATTTTTCAACATCTTTTTATTCATTTTTTTTGCTTCCTTCATCATCCACAAAAAAAAAAGTATTTTTAATTTTTAAGTTTTTTTCTTTCTTATTTAATCTTAGATATGTGGCATCACATGTGAATTATTTCTTTATAAATCGTATTTTATCAATTATTCATTTCTATCAACAGTTAATGCATGTATACAAAATTTTCATCTCTTTTCGTCCGTAATTGTTTTTTTGTTTCATTTCATTTCATTTAATTTTCATTTAAAAAAAGGTTTTTAAGCACAAATCTTTTTTCACGATCGCTACTTTTACTCATATACATCGTATGGAATCGGATACTTCTTTTGAGGGGTCGTTTACTTATGACATCTAGAGAAGAAGGTTAGAAAGCCTTCTTATGAATTGATTGTTTATTTCTTGCGGATGTAATAATTCAGCGATCCCTTTAAGATGGTGAGATTTAACTTGATAATGATTCAAATATTCAAAATAATGATTGCTAAACAGCTTTTTGAACTAAGATCATTTTTGGCTAGAGGAACTGAGAACAATCCACACTTTTGATCTTTCTGAGATTCAAACTTACGACTTTTTGACTTTTGAATGAAATTTTAATTATCTGTTGTTTGAATTCACGACAAAATGTATATTTGAGTTGTTTTATAATTGTTTTATCATTATTAGGACTATTCATGACTGTATATTCATGAACGTGACTGTCATGAAGTGCAGAACTATTCAACAAAATACAAAATTTGAAATTTAACACAAAAATGAACAAAATTTTTTAAAACATAATATTAGGACTCGTTTCAATTGTTAAGATTCGAACTTATATCTTCACAAGATATTAAGAAGATGTCAAAATTTATTTACATCCAAAAGCAGCTACTTCAAATAATATCTCAAACTGAATCAAAATATAACAACACATTGTCTATCTCCAAATTATCCCAAAAACTATATTCAATTCCTCACAACCCTAAATCACTCATCACCTTAATTTGATTCAAATTCCCAAAAAAAAAAAAAAAATCTCTTAAACAACAGACAATCGGCAAAGCCCGTCTGCAAATTTTTTTCCCGACAATCTCACACATTAAATAAGATTGTAGCAGGGAACTAAGAATCTTCATGTATTCTTTCCACAATAAATAAATAATTTTTTTTTTCTTCTTCTTTTCCTTCCAAGTTATGTGTTTTTGTGGGGGGAAGCAGAACAACACACAGCGAGACAAGGCTTATGTGTGTGAAAAAAAAGGAAAATAAATTTTCCGAAGAAAAAGAGAAATTTCAACAGATTGTATTTGTATGTCTACATGCATACTCTTTTTATATACTCACATAATAGGAAGTTCGTAGAACGGAAGATGTGTGGAAAGACAAGGTGAGTCTAATGTGGGTTATAGGAATGAGATAAGAATTTTTTTTGGGGGTTGTGGGAGAATGTGAGATACTTTATAGCCAAAAAAAGTCAAGAGTTGTGTGGTAAGTATGTACTCAGATTTAGTTCCAACAATGATGATGAACCCGTTCCAATACAATATTATAATATTTAAATCAAAACAAATCAATCTCATCATCCGTTCATTTCACTTTAATTGCTCCTCATTTATCTTAATTCTTTCATCTGCCTGCCTGCCTTTATACATCACTAAAACATGTTTATTTCACATATATTTATAAGAACTTACTGCTTAAAAATATTTTCTTTAGGAATGTCAAACGTATTTCGATGATAATTGTTTTGCCAATTCAGTATATTTTAAGAACTTTGAATGTGGACTCTCATCAAATGCCGACGATGATGATGATGAGGTTGCGACAGATAAATCTGATTTATTATGACGGTCATTCGACGATGATTGAATGCCAACAGGTGAAGGAGATTTTTTCGATAGCATCGCCAGTCCGTTGCCACGATTCATTTCCACACTTACATTTGACTTTGGTGAGATTGAAACAGGCGATTTTGGTGAGTGGGCTTGTGGCGGTGGAAGTTTGGAATTTGATTTTAATGATATTGCATCGGATATTAAATCATCGTTGATGAAATGAGCTTTAGATAAATGATGACGATATGAGCCTTTCGATGAGAATGTTGTATCACAAAATGCACATTTAATATTTGATTCATCGCCACCGGTTACAGCATCATTACACGCCCAGCTGAATGCCAACATTGCATTCGCTCGATTTGTATTATTTTGCTGCTGCTGCTGATGTTGTTGTTGCTGATGATGGTGTTGCTGTTGAGGTGATGGTGACGGTGCCAATGTCATTGATGCACTATTCGAACGTGTATTTGGCGTATTTTCAGTTTTGTCACACAACTTTTGGAGTGCTGCCAATGGATGAGCTTTTGATCGTTTACCACCTCCATTTTCAGCTTGACTTGATGGCTTTTCAATATTTGACAAGCTATCAAACATTGAGGATAATGCACCAAGGCTACCACCACCCGTCATTTTTTTAGTCGACGGTGCTGTTTCATTTGGTGTCGAACGTGATGCTACTGAATGATGATCACTCATTGGACTTGATGGACTTGCTCGCGGACTACGATTATTCAATAATGAAGCTGTTTTTATCAATTTCAATGGCTTATCATCCTCATCTTCAGTCTCGTTTTGTTGACTGATATTATTATGGTTGGCACTCTCACGTGAGCTGTTGCGTGTCACAACATTATGTTCATCATCATCTATATCGTTCGTTTCCTTCTTTATTCTTACTGATGCATTCCTTTTTAAATTATTATTATTGCTATTAAGGACTGACTTATCATCATCATCAGTAACTTCTCTCTTAATTTTAAGCGGCTTATCATCATCCGACTCTTGATGATGCTGCTGTTTATCTGGCGTTTCACGTGTTCCATCATACTTCTTTTCAGGCGTCAATGAATCAATACCACGGCTACTACCGCGTTCAGAAATTGAACTTGATTCACTTCCACTTCGCTCGCGTGATGTTCTCGTAAACTGTGATGCTAAATAGTTTTGATGCTGTGAGTGATAATTTCTCAATAATGACATGGTTTGTGCATCGACAAGTGGCTTTGTGTAGTCAACGCTTTCATCTATGCCGAGACGTTTTAAAATACTTGAGCCGAGTGTTGAAGTTGAATTTTGATTGACACTTGGGAAATTTGTGGAACCATGACGCGGACGCGTATCGAAGCTCTTCTCAATTAGCTGCTCGATGGCATTAAGTACTGATGGCGATGATGTCTTATTATTACTATCAATCGAATCTTTCTTCAATGCTGACGATGATGATGTGAGATCCATTGAATTTGTGGACACGGGTGATCTTTGTCGAATGGAATTTGGTGATGTCATATCGCTATCGCTTATACTTTTGCGACCATCACGACTGTTTACGGGACTTATGGAATCAGGTGGAATTATTGTATTTGACATGAGTGCAGATTTAAGCTTCTGCGCTGGTGACATTGCACCCGAATTTCCAATGCATTGCCTTATGTGATCAACAAATAGTGCCGTGTCAATTTTATCACCGCATTTTTCACATGTTATACGACCAGCACTGATATCTCTCAATGGCTTATTGAGCATTACATTTTCGCCATTTTTAAAGTCATTTTGTGCACGTTCAAGCTCCAACAACTTTCTCACTGGCAACGATTTTTTGCGCTTCTCTCTTGTTTGCTTTCGACGGCTTCCACTTTCTGTTATTGATCGCATTATATGCTCCTTATAATGTGCATTTTTTACCATATGATTACTCAATTCCTTAAGCGATGTGAAGGCTTGATCGCATACTTTACATGTAAGTACGGCACTTACATGACTATTTGTTGATGCTGCGCTAGCGGCATTTGATAGGTTTGATGAATTATTGCTGCTATTGTTATTATTGTTACTGCTGCTATTATTATTATTATTATTATTATTATTACTACTACTAGTATTATTATTATTATTATTATTTCCATTTCCACCAGACGGCTTATCAGTCGAATTTGATTCACTTCCACTATTGTTGCCACTATTTGAATTATTATTATTACTACTTCCACCACCCGTACCAGAACGCCATGATATTATTTGCTCTTGTGATATAATGTTCGTATAATGTTGCGTCTGTTGCATATGATGTGTCATTTCAGCTAACGAACGGAAACTTTGTCCACACCACATACATTTGAGAATTTGTCGTGTCTGTTCGGCACCTTTTCCGAGCCACACATCTTGTCCGCGAACCAATTTGCGCGGCAATGGCATGGTCTCTTTGATAAGTAAATTTAAATCCGATTTTGATGTATGCGATGATGAATTGTGTGATGAATTGGATGACGCACCTTGAGAATGTTGATGTGATTGTTGTGATTGTGATGATTGATGGGTGTTTGATTGAGGTGGTACACTCACACCACAATGTTTCGTCTCTTTCATGTGCGTTGTCATTGCGGCGAGCGATGGAAAACTTTGCTTACACCAAACACATTTAAGTACATCTTTTGCCGTATCAGCACCTTTATTAAGCCAGTGTGATTGCCATGCACTATGTCGACCGGCTGATGGTGCACTCACACCTGACGATTCTCGATTTCCACTATTATTCGAACCGTGATTATTGTGTGAGGATGCAGATGATGATGAACGGAACATGTCATCGCCAATACGACTCAATTCTGACATTTTCTCCAATGCTTTTGTCGCTTCACTCGGCATTGATGAATGCAATTTATTTTTACCATTCCATTCATTTGCTATTGTTTTTGGTGACAAACCGGCCGCAGCTGCAGCAACTGCATTTGCAAAAAATGGCAAGTTTGCTGTAACAGGCGTATTCCATGGTGTCATAATTGATGACTTAAAATCATGTCCGGAACGTGGCATTTTACGTGGTGAGTGTTGTGGTGATTCATCACTTGTTGTTCGCTTTCGTGTACTCACAGACAAATCTAATGGACTACTATCTGCTTTCATAACTTCATTATCACTATTATTTTCGTCATTTGAATCACTTTGATCGCAACTTGACTTTCTCTTCTTACTAAAATCCAATATTGGCTCATCATTATCCATTGGAGAATTAGATCGTTCACGATGCATCGAATGTCTTAATGGCGATGCCAATAATAATCTGTTTTGTTGTGCTGCAGCAGCGGCTGCAACATTTAAATATGCAGCCATAGCAGCTGAATGTTGTGGAAGTAATGATGGAGGTATATTTGGTGGCAATGTCATGGAAACGGGACTTAATCCACTATTATGTCCCATGCCACTTCCGCTACCACCACGACCTGAATAAACAGATTCATCAGATGGACAACGACCGCTTGATGAGTCTCGCGATTGACATCGTGGGCTGGCCATTTCACTGTAAAGATAAATAAAGAAAAAATTACAATGTTGTTACTTGAAAGATATTGTGCATGTATTGGTTGGATTGTGCATTTCTCTCGAATGTACATTTTCATTCGTGAGTGCATAAATTAATCAAATGACAAATGTTTCATATCCTTTTCAACAAAATATAAATAAATAAAGCAGAAACATCAGCAGTACGCTTTTCTTTTCTTAATTCTTATCTCTTCCACATTCTTCCCTTTTTTTCATACTGATTGTGATACTTTCTGTCTGTTGCTCGTTCTTCGAGCTCTTCATTTTTTTTTTGATTTTTTGTTCTTCTCTTTCTCGGGTTCTGTGTGTTTCAAAAAAGCACGTTTCAATGACTGCATAAATAAATTTTATTTCTTCTCTTTTACTTCATCTCTTCTTCATTCTGTCATATGCCTTATTTTATTTTGCGCTTCAGATAAAAATATGTATCATCAATGTGTGTATGTTCCCTATGTGGACTTAATGATGAATGTATTTTTTTTCGAGGTTAGAATTGGAATTGAGGTTCATTTTGTCTTCAAGTTTTGGTTTTAAAAAATAGATTTTTGAATAGAATGGAAGTTAACGGTTTATTGAAGGTTTTGTAATACAAATAATTGCTATAACTTGTCAATTTTGGCACCACCCGCATCAAAAGCTGGTGTCAATAATTCAAAATAAAATTATTTTTAAGTTCCTATCATTTTAAGTTCAGTTGTAATGATACCAATGCTGAGAAATTATTTTTGTTGCTATCAAATGGGTTGGAAACAGCCGTCAAGACACTTTACGGTCTATTAAACATTTTTAAGTCAACACTAGTGTATGTGTTGTGACATTCAGAGAAGTTATAGTGATCCAATGATTCTGATGTTTCTTAATCATTTCAATCCCGATTACTGTTTGAGTCAATTTTCTAACCTCCAAGACCATTTAAAAAACCCTCAAAATTTGTTAAATCTATTCCCACCACAACAGCCACAATAAAATGCGCTCTAGCCACAACTTCACCCACAACATCTTCACCAATATTTCATCTCCTCACTCCGTTCTGAATTTAGATCTATGTATTTATATCTTCTTTATTTATTTGGAACTTGTTGTTATTATGTCTGCATTATTAAGTCTTTCTCTATACTTATTTTAAAATATATTTTTTTATATAGAGTACATTTTATTTATGTTTCTGTCGCATGAGAATTTTTTGACAATGACTGAGTGATTGATTTGTTATTTATGAACTGGCATTGTCTCATCAATAACTTTATTATTGACTCTTTCCACGTTTCTCGTTCATTTTACAGTCCCGGGCAAATAAGATGGATTGGGTGGTGTATTTGATGGAACTGTGGTTCGACTGTAATTTAATTATTATATTTGATATTGATAAATAATTTTTATGTTGAATTTGTAATCCTTTATTTTATTGAACTGTATCCATAGACTCAATATAGCGTAAAACTTGAAAGGTAGTCACGACAAATGTGTATAGAGCTATAACATTTCATCATTGTCACTTGATTATCAATATTGACATGTTTATCGGGTTTGACATACATAATTTTCTCATGACAAGAAGAGAAATGAAGAAAAAAAAGAGTTGGGAAGCCAAAGGAATCTCATTAGAAACACGGAAAAAAACAGTTTTAAGGCGTTCAATTTATGAACTTAATCTCATTATTTATTTTGAAATTTATGGATATTTTGAAGCTTACTTAATGGAGTATTGGTCAATATAGAATGAATTAGTTTTTGATGCAAAATTATTCAAACTATGTTAATTTATTATACTACAAAAAAGTTTATGATTCAATCATCAAGAACATCATCATGAAAAGACAATAAAATCCCGAGCGGCAAAGTCTTTTATTGATGTGATATCTTTAAGTTAATTAGGAGCTTGACAGAATTTGTTTGAAAAAATTTGAGGAAAAAACTGGTCAAACTTAATGGAACTTAGTTGAATCTTGTTGAACCTAGTAAAAACTAGTCGAAACTAGTCGACTCTGTACAAAACTAGTCAAAACTAGTCGAACCTAATCGAAACTAGTTAAACCTAGTCGATCGTAGTCCAATTGAGTCGAAACTAGTCAAAACTAGTCAAACAAAGTCAAAACTAGTCAAACAAAGTCAAAACTACTCGAAACAAGTCAAACAAAGTTAAACCTAGTCGACTGTAGTCAAAACTAGTAGAACGTAATCGAATTCAGTCGAACATAGTCAAATATAGTTGAAACTAATCGACTATAGTCAAACCTTGTCAAAACTAGTCAAACAAAGTCAAAACTAGCCGAAATTAGTGAAACAAAGTCGAACCTAGTCGACTCTAGTCAAAACCAGTAGAACCTAGTCGAAACTAGTCGAACCTAGTCGAAACTAGTCGAAACTAGCCGAAATTAATGAAACAAAGTCGAACCTAGTCGACTCTAGTCAAAACCAGTAGAACCTAGTCGAAACTAGTCGAAACTTGTCGAACCTAGTCAAACAAAGTTGAACTAGTTGAGTCTAATCAAGCAAAGTCTGTTCAAAATAACTGAGAAAATTTAAAATTCATCAAAAATGCAACATCACTGCCAAGCATTACTGCTCGGCAAGTAAATTTATTTGTTGAAAATCTTTTGTCATTTATTTATGACCGGTTTCGCACAAGGATGCGCTAATCGATTTATGACATGAAATATTTTAAACAGCTTTCTGAGTTACTAGTGATGACATGTAAACAAGCTTATGAATGATTTCTGGGAAATTTTCTCAGTCATGTGCAAAAAAAAAATAAGTTTTTAAATGCGTTTAAATCCACATGAGTAAATTGATTGACCTGGTTTATTAATAGCAAAGTGATACTTCCAAAGAATCTTGTCATGAATCAACACCCAACCCCTTACTAACATGTGACAAGTTGTCGATAAATTTTATTTTTTTTCAAAGACACGGCACAAATTTGAAAAAAATAAATAAAGTATTTGTTGAGCTCACAGCTTCAATTAACATAAATCAGTGATAAACCCCTGTGTCATTCCATCACGATAACAAGGCATGAAATATTTTCTTTAAAAACTTCAATTTCCAAAAAAAGAGAGAGACCAAAGTTGAGGTCCAATTAAAGGTGAAAATCAGAGATTAGTTTGAAATTGCATTAAATGTCAGCACCCCGAAATAAGTTGCAGATAGTTCCAGAAACAAGGAAGAAATGAGAAAATGAGAAACAATTATTTTTTGCACGAGATATTGAAAAGAATGGTCTCAAAAATAAAAATAAATATTATTTCACATTGTATGGCACCATTTACAGATATGAATAAGATGAGAAGGAGGAATGTGAAGAAGACAATTTGGTAGAGTGAGTGAGTTAGTCGAGCCAGACATAAATCTTATCGATTTTTATTTGTTTTCCAAAATGTATAATAAAAATAAAGGAAAGAAACAAAAAAAAACGAGAGACTTGCAATGGCAGAAGTGGCAGCGGCCTACATACAAAATATTCGCAATCATTAATTCATTCGTCGTCACAGGCTTATTTTTTTTTTTATTTTTATTATTTTAGTTTTCAATAGCAATTAAAATGCGAACAAAAATTATTTATTTTTTGTTTGAGAAATTATGCAAAGGCATTTGATCATGTTGAGGAAGGGGTGTAGTAAGGGTGTGAATGGAACAATAGATTGTTCATCGATCAGGATCCTCTAACTCGTAGAAACACATCGTTTGGCTGGAACTCTCTCACATTATTATTATTAGGGTATGTAAGGTGCCTCTAGTAGCAATTTTTGATAGATTTGAATTAAATTAATTTTGATAAGCCGATAAAATTTCATTTCATTTCTCAAGTTGAAGAGTTGTAGGCACTGGTCGACTAAAATTCAATTAAACTATGCATGCATGGATGTCCCATTATACATGTCATTTGTTTTTTAAGTTTTAAAACTCAAATTTGACTTGAAATTAATTTTTAAACTTTAAAAAGATCCAAAAAATTAATTTTAACATTTTTAAATCAAAAATACCCTCAAAAGTCTAAAAAATATTTCAACATCCTCCAGAGCCTCTTTTGGAGTGATCTCTGACAACCCAAATAATTATGCATAAATAATATAAATTGAACTGATTCACTACCTGGCATTAAGCGCTTGACGATAGATTTCAAGCATAACAGCAGCCTCGTGAAGCATCATTTTTATGATTTATTTTTTGATTAACAAGCAACACAAAAAAAATTGATTTTATTGAACTGAAAGACAACACCACTAATTTTTTAATGATGTAGCTTTGACAAATATTTTTTTAAAACTTTTCTTTATCTTCAATGATTTTTGCATAAAATTTTTTTATTTTTCAAGTCTTGATATATTTTTTTTTATTCCATCTCTCTGCATAATTTGCGCGCTATAAATTTCGCGACGTCGAAATGTTTCATCTTTGGTAATAAAGAGATTTGCATTATATTAAATATGAAAATTTATTTCATCGCGTCTCCTTTATCTTGGTGATAAATATTTTTTGATTTTAACAGGTTGAATAATTTTTTTTTCTCACAATTTTATTATTTTTTTAATCATCACTGAGCTCTGCTATAAACTAGTAATTTTTTTTGTTGCAACTTGCTTGTATACTTTTTTTTGGTATCAATTTTTCACAAAAAAATTCTATCTCGTTAATTATTGACACAAAAAAATAAAAATTTTCTTTGGCACAAAATAATTATATTTTTTATTTCACAATTTCACATTTCTTTTTTTTCTCGTATATCACATGAATTTGTCAATTATATCTTATAATTGTCTCCAGAATAAAATATCATATTTTTGTTGTGTATGCACAGGATGAAAATAAATACACGTAGCAATAAGGTACACAACAGAAAATAAATATATATAAAAAAAGAACTAAAAGAACTTGATTCTCTCTCTCATGTGGGTGAAAAGTTTACGATGGAATCTTTTCACTTCTATCACGTCTGTACTTCAAATTTCAACTGACGTGATGTGATGAAGTTTTTTT